TGGGTGCATATCTCTTTCTGAAACTTGGTCAAATTCTCTTCAAATATTTTTCGCTAATTTTTTTCTCGTCATATTCATATACACATTCGTATCTTCCGACATCTATTTTTGTTTCGTCTCTCTGTATTATTAGTACCAAAACATCATTTCATAATCTTGTATTTACTATTTTTAACCATTTATTTACTTATTTTCGTTTTTAATTTAGTTATAATCTTTAATAATTATTAATAACAATAAATATAAACAAACATGAATTAAATGATCATTTACTATAAAAAAATAATTTAATATTTTTTGTTTTGATGATGTGGACACCCTAGATAGAGAGAGAATTCTCTAATTATATATATGATCTTTAATAATTATTAATAACAATAAATATAAATAAATATGAATTAAATGATCATTTACTATAAAAAATAATTTAATATTTTTTGTTTTGATGATGTGGACGCCTTAGATGGAGAGAAAACTCTTTTAATTAAGTGATATTTTGTTGGTTTGTTGTTAAGATCTTTTAGTAGGGCTAAGTAAAACAAAACCCTAATTCCATCATCCCTAATAAATCTCTCAAACTCCACGGCCTACTATATAAATAAGCATAAACCATAAGGAGAAGAGAAAAACCTAAAAAGGAACAAAAGAAGACGAAAAACAGAGAATGAAGGAGATGATGATTACAAGAGATGTGATTGTATACAGAGGAATATGGTACGTAATGACTCTGCTCTCGATCTTAGGTCTCTACACATCCATCGATCATACATGACCGTCTGAAGAGTGTAAGTCATCATCGTCTCGGTCTCGGTTCCTCAGGGACGATGCGGTGAGTGCCACAACATTCTACGCAGTGACGCTATTCAAATATCTCTTCTTCACCGATCCTCATTCCTCTTCCTATTACAAGGACAATGAGTTTATTACATTTACAGAGATGCTTCCTCAGGCAATGTTCTCGTATTTCGCCTTACATGCCCTCATGGTTTCGCCATTAATGTATACAGTGTCACGGCCCAATTCCATAAAATCCACAAAAAAATTCTAAAAAACCCGTTACCCGCAGCCCAATTTAACCAAAACCCTAACCTAGAGTCTTCCCTATATCTTTATATAAGGCCACACAAGTGAGAAGGAAGATCAGAGTTGCACAGCTAGCAAAACCCTATTGTTCTCGCTCTAGTCGTCTTTGCCTTCTCAGTTAAGCCAGTTCCGAGTTGCTGTTTTGCGGGGCTGATTGCCGGTGGCTCAGAAGGAATTAGATCGTGATTCTTATATCTCTGCAAAGATCACGGATTCTAGTTTCTGAAACTTTTTTCGGATTCGAATTACGAGATCCGACCAAAGCACTTGCGGGGTGATTTTCCGGCGAACCCTGAGGAGTTAGGCGATGATCTACATACCGTTGGATAGAGGATTCTTCTTAGATTTCGTGGCTCTTTTCCGATTTGGATTCCGAGAGCTAACTTTGGAGGAAGGTCAACGCTGTTACAGAAGGATTTAGAACACGATTTTGGTACCGTTGGAAAGGTGATGTTACAACGATTTCAGATCAAGTTCCGGTTTTCCAATCCGATCTAAATCCGATCGCAGATTCACATCTTTCTAGGTTCACTCCTCCATATTTGGTCATCCAAAGGCTAAGGTGAGGGTGTTGTCTAGATAACTTTAATACTAGTTAACACTAGATGTTCTTACATGTTAGTCTAGGGATGGAATGTGATGTTGTTGGTTATATGTGCTAAGTCTAGGAATGTTTGATGCTTGCTGATTGTTAGTAAAGATTGTTTGATGTGTG